CTGCGAACAACATTCTTCCGCAAAGGCTCATCTTCTTCCATAAAGATTCCTTGTCTGATGGCATCCTCAATTTGAACCCCCATTTCATGAAGGGCTGGAAAGGTAAACAGAGGTAGAACCACTATCTTTTGCAGCAACTTGCCATGCAAATTCCGAACAATCATCCTGATCTGATCTTTGTCGGAAGGCCTTGTAGTCATCATTGAGGCCTTTGCTCTCCATCTCGTCACGAACTCTGAGAAACCCTCCTTTGGTTCTTGGCGGGTGACTTCAAGATCACGAGTTGTGACCTCGATCTATGTGTTGTAGGAGTATTGAGCAATAAAGGCCGCAGCCAACTCTTCCTAGTTCCATTTCACAGAGTCCTCTAATTTCGCATACCAGATTGCGGCCATCCCATACATGGTTCGACCGAAGAGAGACAACTTCTGGGCTGTGGTCAAACCCATTGGCCTCAGGATACCGAAAAATAGGTGGAGGTGCACCATTGGGTCTCCAGAGCCATCGAAGCGGTCTATATGCGGCATTTTGAATTGGTCCGGCAGAGTCACAGCTGAATCGGTGTACCCATCCTCAATATCCAGAATGGACTTCACGCCCTGAGACTTTTTGAACAGCTTTTCTAGATTGTTTACTTTTAGTGCTGTGGGGTCCACTTCGAACTCAAAGGGAGAATCCGGTAGGTTGGTGGGTGTGGGTGCCTTGGACAGTTGGGGCAGGATTGGGAGCGGAGCCGGCCCTGTTGGGATGTCCGTATGTTCATGGACTGTCTCCCTGAGTATTGGGACTCTTGGTGGGGGAGGAGCTGGGTGTGAAGCAGATGCATTGGTTTGCTGCTGTAGCCTGGCGATAAACTCTGCCTGCTGGGCCATAACCTCCGCCTGGCGTGTGGCAAATTCTGCTTGACGGGCAGCATCCTGTTGCATGGCTTGCATACTTTCCTAGAGCTGGCGCATCATCTCTTCCATACCTGCCATAGAGTGCTGGTTTATCTAAACAAACGGTATATCTATCCCTACTGTAGAAACTGAGACCTCAGCTTAACTGTTCATTGGTGGGGTAGATAAGGGCCACTGATCTGGTGACTGCTGAACTGGTGATCTGTGCCTGACTGGCCCTTTTACCTTGCTTCTGGCAAAGGAACCCTGATTTCCCTTGAACTGAATCTCTGACCTGACAAAGTCTATCAGCACAAGTCCGATGAACCTCGGGGGATATTGGAGCCTTCTGCAGCTATGGTTCCAAGACTATCCTTAGCAAAAGAGAAAACAGGCAGCATCTCAGCCTAATTTCACCAGAACAGATATGAGAATAGCTGAATGACTGCACTCTCTACTGGATTCTGCCTAAAATTCTTCCCTGTAAACTGATACCCTCAGGTAAAACTAATTCTCCCAAATACTGATGCCCTCAGGCCCAATACCCAGATTTGCAACTGATACATGCATTCTTGTAGAGACCCACTCTAAAAGCACATAGCAAGTGAGAGCCAAAACATCCCTATGTTGGGGTAGGGTTTCCCTGTCCTATTTTGTCAGGAGCTAGGGTTTCACTACGCACACAGCGGCTTCAAACAACCTATAAACGGGTAAGCAACCTGTCCTAGTTTGGAATGGTCACTATGGACCCGAATATGCACTAGGTCGAATGGTCAAAGAGGGTGCCCCGGTAAAACCGGGGTTTGTGTTCCCATACTGGCAGAGCCCACAACCGGTCAGCCTTATGGTCATGCCTTGACAAGACAAGCCTCCGGCAAACCGTTTAGGAATAGCAGATGGCAAACACGGTGTCCTAGGCGCACCAATGCAAATGCAATGCAAAGAAACACACAAGTGTAGTCAAAAACAGATATCACGAGTTCGAGTCAAGTTCTCTAAATCCCCAGCGGAGTCGCCAGAAACTGTAGACAAGCCCGCGGGGGACCTCGCTACAGCTCGGACTCGACTTTGTAGTCACGGTTCTAAATCTGAACCAAAGAGTCCAAATCCAGCAAATCGTTTTGAGAAAACAGATTTTTGAAAGAAGTGCCAAACATGGACTGCTTTGCCAGATACAGAGTCGCCA